CCCCGATAGCTCAGTTTGGCCGGATGGCCAGCTCTAGGAAGGGTTCTGGTCGTCCCAAACGTCTTCCATTTATGGATTATGGAGGCCACTGTGCTCTTAGGAACCTTAAGTGCAGCAGAAATTTTTTTGTAACCTTGGCCAGATCTGTGCCTTGCCACAATTCTGTCTCTGAGCTCTTCAGGCAGTTCCTTTGACCTCATGATTCTCATTTGCTCTGACATGCACTGTGAGCTGTAGGGTCTTATATAGACAGGTGTGTGGCTTTTCCTAATCACGTCCAATCAGTATAATCAAACACAGCTGGACTCAAATGAAGGTGTAGAACCATCTCTGGGATGATCAGAAGAAATGGACAGCACCTAAGTTAAATATATGAGTGTCACAGCAAAGGGTCTGAATACTTATGACCATGTGATATTTCAGTTTTTCTTTTTTAATAAATCTGCAAAAATGTCAAAACTTCTGTGTTTTTCTGTCAATATGGGGTGCTGTGTGTACATTAATGAGGAAAAAAATGAACTTAAATGATTTTAGCATATGGCTGCAATATAACAAAGAGTGAAAAATTTAAGGGGGTCTGAATACTTTCCGTACCCACTGTAGATTCATGGACAGAGTATTATAGTATTTATTAGAGAAGCACCAACTGCAATTTTCTTGAGCAATTCAGATTTTCTTTTTCAAGTTTGACCTGCAGATTTAGATTTTGGACTAAAAATGAAGCCTCTTCTTTTTTTGTACTTTCTGCTTCTCAAAGTGTAAGTAGGTGCAACAGGAAATAGAAACAGAAGAATTTCTGTTTCATCAATCCTGCTGAGCATGCAGTTCTTTTTGAAGTGTGTGTGGTTTTTATTTGTTGTGTTGTACAGTGGGTTGGATGCATTTCAATTGTAGCTAGTAATTCACTTATTGTATAGTATTTGAGGTTTGGACTGTAGTTTTCTCTTCTCTAATATGTGGGCCCCTCTGTGTGTTTTTGTGTACCAATCGTTTCCGGTGTGTGAGTGAACACATACCTGGTATAGACACAAGGATTTTTAATACCCACATTACATTTCTGAAATTATAATTAAAAAAAAACTTTAAATGATCTGAAACTGACACCCATCCAGACCTTCAATGAGAGCAAGGAAAAACTCCCAATTATGAGGCCAAGAAAGGAAGAGTCCTTTGGAGGGACTGCTCAAAGAAAGATTCCCCTTCATGATGATCAGCTACTGGGTGCCAGACGTGGGCTGCTTACTCATTTATGCAGGGTCCACCCTGCATGTACTTTGTGTCTAGTGCTAATTAGTTATGTTACATTACTAGTTAATAATAATATGCTGAACTAAGATGTTGAACCTTGGCATTATATTTGCTTAACCTCATCCTGTTGGAATTATCATTGTGAGAATGTTACCATGCTGATTTTACATTTAGTGTAGTGTATAGCCATGCTAACAGCTTCCTGAAGTTCTGCACTTTTCTCTCATTTCCAATAAATATGATCAAAGTGTGGGTTTTTTAAAGGCTTAGTTCATATTCAGTTAATGTACCAATATACCAAGTGTGTTCTTTGGGGTAACTGAACCTACACTATCAGTGAAACACCATAAATATCTCTCTCGGGGCAACTGTGCCTCAGGAGGCAGAGCAGTCATCCCTCAACTGGAAGATCAGCAATTCCTGTTCTCCCCAGTCCACATGTTGAAGTATTCCTCGACAAGGCACTGAACCCCAAGTTGCTCCTGATGGCTAGAGCAGCGCTTTGCAGGAACAGAAGCACCATTGGGGTGTGTGTTAGCACCACAGATGGCTTCCTCGGTTCTAACCGGAGACAAATTCCTTGTGTGTGTAACATACTTGGCCAAAAAATTATCATTTAATATCTTTTTTTTAATCATCTGTACAGTGATGGCATTACCAAGAGAAATACTTTTGGAGAAAGTGTGTGAATCATTCAGTGGCATTAAATTGAAAGTGAATGTCAAATAAAATGTTCTTTAAAGTCAAAGTGGTGCTCCATTTGCCAGTTTTTGTGGATGTAGTGTATCTATAAATTTGTCTTGATTTTTCAATGATGCGCTGTAATGCTAATACAAAGAATCATAGATACATTTATGCAGTCTAATGTAAAGTCATAATTCAGTAATTTTAGCAACAAATAACAAAGCTATTTTTTTCTAATAGCACATGGATTAATACCAGTGGTGAAAAGTAACAATATATTATTTAGGAACTGTACTTAAGAATTTTTAAGTATCTGTACTTGAGTTGAGTATTTTCATTTTCTGCTACTTTACACTTTGACTTTTAGAAGTAAGTTTTGTACTCTTTACTCCATGTGTTTATTTGATTAGTTGCTAGTTACTTTGCTCCAAAACCTGTATGTACTTTTCAGCATTAATGGTGCCTTCACAGATGTGCAAGTTACACATTCCATGGGCACTAACA